CTCTTCGCACTGAATTTTATTGACAAATGTCTAACCTCTAAAATGCAGCCAGTTTCAGATGTCAAAATAAATTACACCTACAACTAACATCATCTAACTGTGAGCCGCAGGAACTAAGTTTACCACCTAATATTTTACTCTTTTATATATTGTACTAACTTCCCAGATAGTCAAACCTATGCGAGCAGATTTTACGTAGAGTCTGTCAACAGTGTCTGTAGACAGAATGGCAACAGATTGTACGCAGAATCTGTTCTGACGACAGATTGGTGACAGACTGCGCGCAGACCTTGTCGACAGACTCTGACGACAGACTGACGGCAGGTTGCGCGCAGATTCTGTTTCCTATTTAATTCCATCAAGGGCCATATGTACGTTATTAAATGGGGCAGTTTCACATACACACCATGTAAAACTGCTGCAGAGGAGTCAAGATAATTATATTGTGCAATAAGTGTACACATATACACAATAAAAAACAATGTTTACTTTTTAAAATTGTATTACACATTTCTTATAAAAAAGCAACAATAATAGAGAAATAATGAGTACAGGTATAGAATAGTACAACAATTAAATGGCCAGTTTAAATGGCCATTTAAAGGCGTACATATGCCATCCCTAGTAAAAATTTTTCATACAATTTCTCATATTATTATTGTTTTTAATGTCAATATATCATTAAATCTGAACGATTTAACTGTCATGCAATAAGTACTGAAGGCAGCAACCCTGAATAAAATATTAGTCTCGCCATGTTAATAACTTTTACAGAATTTTTGTGATGGTTTATTTGAAAACATATCATGCTTCGATTTTAATAAAATTTAATACAATCTGAACTGGACGATCGACCAAATTAATTTGCATAAGTAAAATCACAGTATTTTATTAACATGATGGAAAAATGTCATTATATGCTGTTTTATTGCAGTAATTTTCTATACAGTCCTTGGTAGAAAATTAATTTCGAATTATCGTGCCGGTCTCTCTTACATTATTTATATGCTAAACGATTTCGTCTATATTTTGCGGTTTAAAAGACGAACAAACTCTAAAATTTTTCTTCCTTAAACTTTGAGTGGGCAATACAAAACACTTTTTATCAAGTGAGGAATTGGCGTAGTGTCTAAGGCGACGGACGATTATCTGAAAGATGTCTTCGGTTCAAGTTCGAATCTCACCAGAGAAAATCTTAAAAATTATGAAAAAATAATATAGAAAACATTTTTTTTTCATTGTATTTTACGAGTATTTATGAGAAAGCGCTTATTCTATAAGTAATTATGAAAAATTATGAGAAAATTTTCTACCAAAAATTTAATTGAAAAACCTACGAAACGATAGGATCTGCACGCAATCTGCCGCTAATCTGCCGTCAGAGTCTGTCGGCAGGTTCTGCGCGCAATCTGCCGCCAGTCTGTCGTCATAGTCTGTTCGTAGACCCTCTCAACAGTCTGACGGCAGATTGGGGACGCAGATGTCTATGGATCTGTCGACAGATCCTGCTCGAATTCGACAGATCCTGTCGCCAGTCTGACGTCAGTCTGCGCGCAGATTGCTTACTGGGTTAACAGAATTCCAGTCTTTTCGTTATATCTCATTCTTCTTTTGATTAGATTAATTCTTCGTTTTTATTTCTCCCATTATTGTTTCCTCTATCAGTATATAAGTTTGATGTCCTGTCTATTCTTAGAATCGACTTCGTATAATTTTTTTATTTTATCCAATGTTTCCATACTGTTATCTCCTTGTATGGTCATGTTATATGTTAGTCACAGCGATTACTCAGGAGCCTTAATGATAATAGAAAAAAGAAGGATAGAAGAGAATCGGATAGAGAAGAAAGAATACAAAGATGAATGGAATGAGAATATTGGTCATGTTATTTATGTACTGAATAGAATGAGAATACATAGTCATATTATTTATTTATTGTAAAATAATTTTGTGTAATTTTCTTTCTTAAATTTTGTTCATATTTAAAAAATGATAAAATATGTTATATTTGCATGATAAAAGATCTGTTTTACCATGTTGCGATTGACCACAGTCACCCACAGCAACCGTGCAAGAGAAAAACTCTAGGCATTAGAATGACTGTAAATAGCTGTGATTAATCGCAAGAAAACGGATCTCTAATAATAAAATAATTATTTATAGTCAAACGGATCTCTTTCGTATAAATATGTTTTCTATAAAGTGGGAATTTCCAGGATAAGATAATTCTCATACAGTATTAATATTAATACGAAATACAGTGTGTCCCATAAGTTCGGCAACGGTAAGAAAACTCGGCGGGAAAGCATTTTAGAGAAAAATGTTTCCAATAAAAGTCGTAAGGCGTAAAAAGTTGCATTTAATGACAGTAGTTATTTGACCTAAGATGACATCGCCAAGGTCAGAACAAGGTCAACTTTGCTTTTTTAGATAGAAATACATATTTTTTTATTACGGCATTTTATTCTACGTGAAAAAGCAAACAACTTTTGTTTGAAAAAATTTTTTATATAACCTATATTTACGTAAATATCTACAAAATTATTGGTTTCAATAATTTTTTACTGGAATTCTATCAACTTTACCGAAAAATATCAAGAGATAAAAATTATTTATTTTGTTCTCATAGAGCTCTGAGAATTTTTTCAGAATTTTATATTAATTTTTTAGTACTGCATTTTCTTGCATTTCCTTGAAGTACTAAAAAGTTAACACAAAATTCTGAAAAAATTGTCTTTCTAAAAATTTGTCATATAATATAGTCTTACCATTTTCTTTCGATATCCTAAATCATCTTTTAATCTTTTTTTCATTACATTTAACTCATTTTTGTCTTTTAATGGCAAATCATCAAAAACATTAATATTTTCTTTATTGTCCGTATTAATGTTCAAAATGTCAAGGTTTTGCAAAATAGTCTTTGTAAATTTCTTCACTATGTTTATATTATTCTCAAGTCGGTCCATTTTTATATCTAAATTTATGAGTTTACGTAAGGCGAAATGTTGAAAATTGTTGACATCTGTAACACATTCAAAACATTTTACTCGTATATTTTATATTTTATTTTTTGCAAATAAAATATTAAAACTTTGAAAAAATCAAAATATTAAGAAATAAAAAATGAAAAGAAACGGTTAAAATATGTAAAATTATACTAGATTTGAGGCTTTCACGGCCATTGATACAATGTCTAGGTATAGCTTCCGGAATGTAGCCGTGTATTGAATCAGCGATATGCCGACGTTTCGTAAACGTTGCAGTTTGCACCATCAGCGCTGAGAACTCTGATACTGAGCTCCCTTGGGTAAAAGGTAGTCCTTATATGCCCCCCTCCCCCCTTTTGTGTAGATGGTGTTAGGGAGTAGGGGACGAGGCTTGAATCCAGCCAATCAGCGTATTTTAATTGATCAGCTGGTCAATTAAAAAAACCGGGAGGGCAGTATGCCAAATAGAGTTTACTTGCATACCTTTGTCTCGGTTGAGGTTGTTGGGATGTTTTAAAATTTCTAGACCTTCACGATGTTTTCTGGCAAAATATCTCTGTGAGGGAGCCAATCTGGTGGCTTTGTCATATTGTACAGAGTGTCCAGTCTCCATCCAGTGTTCAGCTAGGGCTGATTGAGTAAAGTGACCATAGTTGGTACATCGCTGGTGTTCCTTGATTCGCGTACTGATCTTCCTCCCGGTTTCTCCTATATAAACTTTACCACAAGAGCAAGGGATCTTATATACACCTGATGTTTCTAGGCATGATTTCTGATCCTTCGGATTTGGAAGTAAATGGGAGAGCTTCCTAT